TCATGCTGTCTGATGAGCGCACCTTTACCCGGTCTATAAAGTTTAAGTGCAGAGCGCCGGTTGCTATCAATACCATGCGCTGCGATCATCTCTTTTACTCAGTGTAATTGGGTAGCAATCAATTGAGGTGGTCAACTGTGGTTGAATAGAAAGCTCTCCGTGACTGAAGTACTGTTCCGTTGTCATGTCTACAAACTTCTGATGACAATTCCGTTGTGGTAACTGAGTGAGCGCTTAGCGCTGCGGTCGTGAATTTGGATCTAGATCACTGGCAAGTGGCCATCTGTATGTTAATTACTTGATTTGTTCCCTAACATTGTACGCCGATCTGAAGCATTCAGTGAATACAATTCGAAACTTTTATCACAGTTGACGTGGCATGTGCGTGAGAGCATCAAATCGACGCGAAGTCACTCAGATCAGAGTTCGAATCCCTCACTTGGGGACATCTATGTCAATCCTCTGTTTGCCTTCTTCCATCACATTACACGTCTATGGATGAACCCAATGCAAAACTTTCGTCAGATATTCGAATTCCGAAGCGCCTTGATTTTATTATTAAGTTCTGCTCAACCGCTTGAAGCCGTCTAAGCAATAGAGTACCGAGTACAACGCCACCGTAACATATTGCGAACAACTAGTTTGCGATCATCAGCTATCAGTCGAGCAGAAGAAATATCGTGATGTGAACGAAAGAACATCTGTTATGAATAACCATCATCATGGAGATATCACTGCTTATGTGTGATGTAATGCTTAGCAATAGAATAAATGCAATTACGGAATATTTTTTGAATATTAGAAAATGTTACACGGCATAAAGTTTTACTTTTCTTAATGGTGATTTGTGTTGCTATCGATTTGTAGTCAATATTTTGGTAGAATGCAATGTCTGAAACGTACGAGATAAACAGTCCAGCACAAAGGAATGGGCAATTTTACTCAATATTCAAATTCGCTATTGTGATCATATTTACATACTATGTTCAGAGAAAGCTTTTCAGCGATATGCAGCATGAAGAAAGTGGCTGAAAACTGGAGAGAAATATGCTTCTGAAAATTCCAGAGGTTAGAACTAACGCGATTCTGCGCTGAATTAAAGAACTCGCATAATTCTCGCAGTGACATTGTCAAGCAAACGTGCAAACCTTGAAAATGATAATGGTGACACATGTTTCGTACAATTCTCAGAGCGAGCTTTCGATCGATTTACAATGCAAGGAATTAAATCAAGCAACTGCTATACATGGCCACCTGACAATTACATGAACTCAGAATCTTGGTTAAATGACTGCATGCTGACTTGGTGACCTCGCAAAGGAATTATAAAGTAAAATGATAATAGACAATATCCACAAGTTTGACAAATGGACAGAAATGCATTCAAGCGCGCATTCAATTGATGAGTAACATAAAAGGAAGTCACGTAAGTAATACAGAAGACCACCTGACAAGGATATAGGTTCGAATTCGCGACCGCACGACTATGCGCTGACCGAATGAATCACTCATGGTCATCACAATGGAACTGAATGAGAACTTGACAAAAGTGACATCATACTTCACTCACAGAGAGCTTTGAACTGATATACAGTATGAGGGAATAAGTCTAATGGTTGATACAGATGATCGTCGTCCAATTATACACGTTCACATCCAAAACAGCGACCGCAGCGCGAAGCACTGAATGCAACCAGCGACGGCCATCTAAAGTTTGGCATGATGTGTAAACTGCAAATAAAATAAAAAATTGTGCAGGACATGCGACACACGAAGGACACTATTCCCCACACTATCGGAGCGCACTTGCATCATGAGCGAAAAAACTTACGAACCATGTGCGTCAGGGAAGCACTGATCATTTGTGACAGGACAACGCAAATGCAACAACGGAAATGAACTATATGCGAATTGGATGAGTCTCATAGAGCATGTCGCCGATGAAAGGTCAAAACATGAAAACGAACCAAGAGGTCATTTCACGATGCAACGCACAGCCACTGCAGATGACCATATCTGCGTCAACCAATCATAACCAACATTACTTTGAGAAGACTGTTAGATACGCACTGAAACGTCGGTAGCGTTGGTTAGCCGATCACCCAACAAACCGATCGGCTAGCGTTGAGTCCCATGTGCACTACAATAATGTTCGTAAATGCTAGACACAATATGATTTGAAGGCATCTACGAAAAACACACGTGTTTTGGCTATATGTGTCATTACTTAACAGTCACTTGGGAATAGCCGACTTAACCGTACCCTGATCATTGCCGCCTCCCTTCCACGCACCTGCCTCGCACAACACGACGCGGAAGCACGATGCTCTATTTATCGACAGTACACAGAGAAGGCACATGAGAGATGGCATCAAAAGCATACTTTACGCAGCAGCACACGTCTCCGTTGTTCCATCATTTCCTGCGGGTTCACGATGCCGTTTTCCCCTAAAGTCGGTAAGATGAGCATCGGCACAAGAACTGAAAGGACGAACGGCGGCCGACCGAAAGAACGAAGGACCGCGCGGCCATCTACCTTTCAGGATATTGCGCTGCTCCAGCTCGCGAGCCGTCGGTCGTTGGCTGAGTTTCCTAAAACAGACATGAGGCACCAGTGTCGTGCGCAAAAAACACTCGAACGAAACGAAACCGAACCGGGACGGATCGGATCGATCACCCTTATTACTGATCATGCTACCTCTCGAGCTTGATCGACGCCTCGGCCATCTTCTCGCGGCGTTCCTGCACTGTCTGGTTCGGTATGTCGTCGACCGGCGGAGGCGTATCCAGCATGTTCTTCAGCGACAGCGTGTCTTTCCTGTATATGCGAGCGGCCAGCCGATCTGAAAGCGTCGCATTAACGCTCGACTGTAACTTAACAAACATAACACGAAATAATTGTGAATACTGAGCACTGGTGGCCTTTCGTCTTCACTGTCGCTGTCGTCTGCATCATCGGGGGACACCGACGAAGAATCACTTGCGCCGTGCTCTTCGTCCGGCTGCGGCTCCGGTAGACAGCTCACGGCTTGACGATGGTCGCTGAAAACGAAAATGATCTTCATCGAAAGCAATGCAGGTAGATCACTGATCACAGATTCCAGACATCATTAATCCGAACACTGAGTCTCTGACGTTGATACTTCAGACGACAACCGACTACAACAACAACAACAACAAAAGCAACGCACTTCGCGTACTTTCCTGTTCAGAATCTGTTTGCATCGCGCGGAAGTACGGCATACAACGGCTAAAACACCCACAACACTGCCATAAAGTTCGAAAACGACTATTTTGTTTCTTCGCTGATAAATCGTCGCCTTACATCTCGAAACCTGAGGAGTCGATTACAAAATGAAAGAGCATTGATCGCCTGAATGTGAGAACACGTAGGTTTTGGAGACGTGAAGAAACGCTGAACGTCCATCGGAAGAACTTGGTGGTGCCAGAAAACAGACATGGCAGCCGGCAGAAAGAAGTCAAAAAATGGACGAATGCGTGCTACGGCTATGCTCACATATTAATTCGAGGAAAACATTGTTCCTTCAGGTGTCATTTAGATTGTTTCGAGCTATTTTATGTCGACGATAACCGGAACAACAGTTCACAACCAGTTAATGATCGTTGGTTTTCGACCCACGGTTCAAGGTAAAATTATTTAAGAAAACGACGAAAATTCCTTTACTAATCGTCCTTTATATAACTGCCTTGAACCATAGATCGAGAACCAATTACCATTAACTGTTATCCAAGCAGGCAACAAATCGACACCTTGTACAGCTATTCTGTTCATATTCAGATTCATTCATTTGCTCATTCACTTTCAAATTAGGTTATGTTTTTCTTCGGATTTTCAGATTGTGGGGCAGCAGGGTTAATGAGTTCGCCAACTAGTACCTTCCCAGGTCTGTTTCGCGCTATACACTGCGTGCGCCGCTGGCCTAAACGAATGAAATATCGGTTAATGGGATGAGTAGCTGTCGCGTATGCACAACAGAGAGCAACCTTCTAGCATTTATTTCGAAATGAACTCCATTCTACCATGTTTAATTGACTGAACAATGGTTATATCGGGAGACGAATGATCTTGATCTATTCTCTATCCTTCAGAGAGTCTAACAGTGGAAACATTGCCAGGGACAATTTTCGATGTACCAGATAGAAGTGCCATCAAACTCACCGCGATACGTAAGCTTTCTATACCGTCGTCAGACGGCTGCAATCGGACAGGATCGTACGAAGATCAAGGCAATTTTCTCTGTCTGAGACAGCCAGTGTTCACGGCAGTTAAATACCGTTTTCTTCCTCATTAAGGTACGAAGGGGTGGGGTGACTATTTTCTGCTAGCGTATGATCAGTGAGCTCCAGGGTCACTCGTAAGCGCGACAATGACAAAGCGACGAGGACAACCTTTCAGCGATTTCGTATCAGGGGCTGACTGAAAACGAATCCACGTCAGTGGCACACCAATCTCAACCATTGCGTACTCAAAAACACAGCCAATGAAAGTACCTCCAAAAACCAGTTCAAACGCCGACCTGCAAACTGTGGGTATAAAAGCTGAAGAAATTATCACAAACCAAAAACATGAAGCGTAGTAAAAAATAAGAAATTTATGAAAGTAAAAAAACAACTCAAATTCTACCTGGTCGATGAAAATATGCGTTCTGGTTGGAAGTCTTGTCCTAACAGAAGAAGCGCACAAATCGCTCCTGAAGCTCCTCCCAGTACTGTACCCGGTTTGGGTTACAATTTTATTCCTCGTTTGCGATCCATGGCTCGACATAAAAAACGATGAAACAACGTTTCGTTTCCGCACAACTCGCAACCTCCGCAGGCGCTGTTGTAGTTATCATCGTCTGAGGTATCAGGGTCAATGACCAATTGTTGAAATTAATGTTTTGCTCTTTGGTTTCTCAGAATGATTTACCTAGTCAAATAGTAAAATTTCATTGTGTAAGATGATTATCCTTGAGAGAGCTTTTGATTCTGGTCGCAGATAATTCAGCAACGGATTGTTTTCTCGACACATGATAAACCAGACACGGAACGGTTTTGCTAACAATCGACGCGTTTCGTTACCAACATCGGTAACATCATTACAACTGGATAAATAAAAAACTCAGTCAACGCCTTAGCACAAGTACAAAGCATTATTAATAAACGTGAGTGATAGTTTTGTGTCGTTCAGTCACGAAATCAAATTCTTTGCAACAAGTTGCCGACTGCTGCCCAACTTTCACATTCGGTGCTCTAGTGCCAAAGTATGAAGAGGACTCATTTATTAATAGATTCAACCAACTGTTGTGCCGTCAATTACCACGCCGCCATGTCGCTCACCAATCGCATGGAACACAGTGTCCCAGTATTCAGCATGACAAATGCGGATGGCGGGGCACATGTTCTTTTATTCTGACATTAAGTCGTCTATACGTGTTACCAGTATAAATTCTGCCGCGTCTCAATGTGTGCACTTATTTTGCAAACTACGCAACGACTTATACTCGGTTGCTGTTTATGACAAAGAAGCATCGCTCGCTGTCAACCCATTTTTTGCAGCGGATTACTGTAAACTCCCTTTTCATTAGGTATTTTTTCACTTCATCTGAATTTCCTGAAGTAACAATGTGGTCAAGTCAAAGTTTTGAAGAGAACTCTTGTCGAGATGAACTGTTCATTCGAGACTATTACAATGTTGCAGGTTGCCGGTGCGCGATGAAGCATATTTTCCACTATGCTCGTGAATACTGCAGCAAAGCAGGGAAGAAAAGACTGTTACCGTTGGAAAGTTGATTTCCCGTCACTTTCACAATGGGGCGAATTCTACAACCGTTGTTTTCATGAAGTTAGTAGTAGGGGCACTAATCCCCATTTCCATGTCATCGGCCAGGAGTGCCTTATATTTTTCAAAAGCGGAGACGACAGCAGCAGAGATGCGAGCAAAGTTGCTATTCACTCGTGTCCTTCCTATTAATCATCATCATCAGTCTCGGAAGTAAGAAGGGTGAGTTATCCTGACCTGGGCATGAATTCGACATATATCGGTTGGGCGTTCGACGCTTTACCGATTTAACAGCCCCGGTATGAACTAATGTGAGGCAGATGGCAAGTTCCTTGCTCAGTAAAATTCGTGAGTAACAAAAATTCCCTTAAAGCAGAATCGAACCCAGCCCATACGAAGTTAGAAGCTTCAGGCGACCTAAGTATAGGTTCGGTAGCACACAAATGACCGAAGAGTTCACTGGAATGCCGTACGTTACATGGTATCTATTGCGCGCGAACTTGAAACTGACAACCACCATTGCAAGCTGATCAAAACACAGTAGATGGTACTTAATGCTGGAGTTTTTCAGAAGACTTTTGATGATCTCATTCCGCTGTTGCCTTATATGATGACACGCAGTATCTGAGCAAGTACGCTTGTGTCGACGCTGTTGAAAAGCGCGGTCACATCCAGTGATGCCAAAAAACGTTCTTCACTTGCATCGCCCCTCACTTTCAGAGCAATTTCAATAATGTTGGTGATGACACCGATGATGGATGTTTGTTTATAAGAAACGCCCCCCCCCC